AAAAAAAAAAAGAGGTATGAATCTTGCACTATCCTGAGCCATCCACGTGACTTATGATTGCCAGTGGAATCAGTGCTATAAATCAGAACACTTAGCTAAAAAAAGGTACTTGGGAGGGACTGGAGAACATTATGCTGAGTGAACTCTCTCAGTCCCACAAGTATAAATATTGTATAAAAACCATTATTGTAGAATGAGGATCCAAGAAGGGTTGGAGAGGTTGGAAACAGAGGGATGAGGATGTGGGGGGTGAGGGGTGGGGATTAATCATGGGTTTGTACAATTTAATGTGATGGGGGCAGGTGAATGAAATTCAAAGAATTTGTTCTTGAAAACAATGCATCCAAATTTTGTAAATAAGCTAGTAGGGGGAAAAGGTAAAGGCTTTCAAGTTCAGCCCCTCTACTCACCATTCTGTCATGTCATCTTTCTCCCACAATGAAATTATTTCACAGAAGAAGGGGAGAGAATACACGGATTTAATCTTTTTTGAAGTTACCAGATAACATTGTTGTCAGAGTCAGAACTGACTCATAGCTGAGCCTCCACAGGGTTTTCAGAGACTGTAAATTGAACAGAAGCAGCTGGTGGATTTAAACCATGTGCCATAAGGTTGACAGAGCAACTCCTTAAGCCTGAAGCCACCAGAACTCTCGAATCAGGTAACAGGTATAATTATCTTAAATGGGCATTTTATTTCTTTAGGGAAAAAAGTCTTTTAATTGGACGTATATAGCTGTATAGATAGCATCATTTGTAAAAGCAAAGTATCAGAAACAGCCTAAGTGTCTAATAGTAGGATCTTGGTTAAATCCAGCCTTCTAATAAAACACCAGTCATTTAAAAGTTACAGCATTAACTTTTATTTACAGAAAAACATACCATAGCACAGTGTCAAGGAAAAGCAAGTTTCAGCGTTACATAGAGAATACGATCCTATTTTTATTTACTTTTTAAAGAACTGGAACCACACAGAACTGAACTTCTAGCTATGTAGCTTTGTAAGACATCAGCTAGTGTCTTCACCTTAGCTTCAGTTTCATCAAGTAATACCACGTCACTTAGGTCTGTTGTGTGAATTAAAAGAATTAATAAATGTAAAGGACCCAGAACTGTGTCCTGCCCACTGGAGGCTCTCAAATGTCAGTTATTTTACTTCCTTAAATTGGAGCTCTGGTGGCTTAGTGGTAAGGAGTTGCATTACCAACTCAAAGTCATATGGTTCAAATCCACCAGCTGCTCCAATGGAAGAAAGATAGGCAATCTCCTCTCATGGGATTTACTCCCTCTTAAAACTTGCTAGAAGGTCAATTTCAACTCAACAGTACAAGATAACTATATAACAGGCAGATATTGAGAGGATGGTACTATATCAGGCAATGTTTTGTTGTACCAGATATGAGTTCACTTAGTCAGGGCCAACTACAAAGAACCTTGTTGGGCTACAACAGAAAGGTCAGCAATTTGAATTCAACAATCACTCTGAGAAAGACAGGCAGTCTCTTCTAATTACTGCCTCAGAAAACTGCTACAGGGTAGCTATGAGTTGAGAAGCACTCACTAGAAGAAAATAATCTCCTTGTCAAAGGGTCTACCAAACTAGAAGGATCATGAAATCTAATATTTAACCAAGTTCTGAAAGAGGATTCACCAGTAACACAAGGAGGTAAGACAGAAGACGTTGCCCTGGTTGTGCTATTCCTCTGTATTTTAGCAAAATATCGTGCCACACATATTATTCTGCAACAGATTTCTTTATCAATACATCTTACTCCTATAAGACAATTGTACAGTATAGTATACCACAATAAATCAATGATGGCAACACATTTTTCTCAATTTTTTGGCTACTGCAAATTTTTAAAAAGCCAAACTTACTGCTGTCAAGTTGGAACCAACTTATAGCTGACCCTCCAGGTGGAGGCTGTAAACCACACAAAAGGATCATGCCTGTTGTTCTTCAGAGTAGTTGGCAGCACAATACCCTACCGACTAGGCAACCAGATTATCCTCCTTCGCTTGCAGTAATATCTCTATGCACATATCTTTACTTGTGAAACTTAAGGTGGGCCAGAAATATACAAAAATTTAATGAGGAAAAACTTCAAACAATGTTCCTTTTGGACAACATTTTATTGACACTTCCATTTCATTGACCTCTCTCTAGTATTTACCTTTTAGAATATACATTACGTTCCAAAGCACAGATTGACTCTTTTCTGTAGCCCTCCCCACTTGCCCAGCCATCAAATATTTGTCAAACTAAAAAAAAATTGATTCTAGGACCCTGAGCACTCCCACCCATTACAAACATAATGAAAACTGGTACTTACCTCAGATCATTTTTTAGTTCCACGACCACATCCTTTCCCACAAGAGATTTGAAAAAGGAATAGAAGAGCTATATATAGGGCGACACAGGAGGGGGAAAAAACCCATCATGTGGAGAGAGCCATGGCAGGGGGGGATATTGGATTATTCTCTACGTTACTGGGATCCCCACGACATTGTGGGACTTCTGAAAACAGAATACTCAGCTCACAAGTGTGTGAGGCTGGAGTCTAAACAATTCTGCATTCAACTGAGCTACTGATAATTTGCAGCACCAGTGGGCGGCTCTGTTCCCAAGAGACCTTCCCTGGGACCCTGCCTGCTCCCTACAAGGCATTTCACATGCCCTTCCGAAAGTTTGGTCTCTGGCTAGGAAATGCTCCTTGGGTTATAGCTTGTCGCTGTCCTACTGTTCCCTCCGACTCTCTCTCATAAGGGGGAGAAAAATCCCACTCACTCCCAGATGCCTCCTCAAAAATTCTGAAGTTTAGAAACTAAAGTTGGGAGGGAAACCCCCGGGACCGACTGCACCCAGAAGGCAGAAGGTCCGATGCCTGCCTCCCGACCCCCACCCCCCGCGTCAACCATTTGAACCGCCCGGGCTCCGCGAGGGCGCCCTCTTGTGACGTCACCGTACCTACCATGATGCTCGCGCAATGGGCCGCAAGCGAGACAACAGAACCAGAAGCACGAGCCGGAGACCTGTCGGGAAGTGCAGGGAGCACGGGCGCGGCGAGCCGGGGTTGCAAGGGCGCAGCCGGAGACGCCGCCAGACACTCCGAGGGGATAAAGGAGAAAGCACAGCGAGCTAAGGCCGGGAGATGCACAAGCAAAAGAGCGACAGAAGCAGCCAAGGAAGGATAAAAGCCGGGAAGGGGCGGAGCGTCCGCCTTGCACTTCCTCCAGGCGCTATCCACTCCCAGCGCGCAGGCGCGGGCCGAGCAACGGCGGAGAACCTCTTAGACGCTACTGAACGTTAATGTTGTTATGTGCCGTTGACTCGTTTGCGACTCATAGCGACCCTATGTACAACAGCCCTGCTCTATCCTGTGCCAGTCACACTGCCTCTGACACACCCACCCATCCCGATTACCCCAGTCACTGAATCAATCCACCACATAGAGGGTCTTCCCCCACCTGAGCTGTCCCTCTACCCTCCCAAGCATGATTTCCTTCTCCAAGGACCTGTCTCTCCTTACAACATGTCCAAGTATGTCAGACGAAGCCCCAGAATCCTTGCCTCCAAGGAGTAGCGTGGTTTAACCCTCTCTAGGATGAATCGGTTTGTTTTCTTGGCAGTCCATGGTACCCTCAATACTCTTCTCCAGCACCACAGCTCAAAGGTATCAATTCTCCTGTCCTCCCTAGTCATTGTCCAACTCTCTGATGCATAACAAGTGATTGCAAAGACCATGGCCTGTATCAGACGCATTAGTCTCCAGAGAGACACCGTTGCGCTTGAGTACTTTAGAGAGGTCCCTAACAGCAGACTTTCCCATCGCAATACGGTTTTTTTATTTCCTGGCTGGTAGTACCAAGAGTGTTGACCGTGGAGCCGAGCAAACAACGTTAAAAGCAAGATTTATTCTTGGGACATGGTTTCAGTCTGTGGCTCGTAGGCACCTAACAGCCACCACCACCACCACCTTCCTTATAAAGATTGTTGAGTTTATGAAAAGTAATTAGTAATTGTGTACTTTTAAAATATACATTATGTTTTAATAAAAAGATTTTTAATAAAAAGTCTCTCAAGTGAGGAAGAGCCTGGGCACAAATCTTGATTATAAACGGTCCCTTATAAATTTATTTCTCTCAAGGACCAGGCCTGTCTTCACATTCTTACACACTTTTGCCTATGATTGTCCCGTAAGAATATATGACTAGATACGGAAGAGCCTCGGGAGAGAAACACCCACCATAGTTTTTCACTTTCAGAGATTGTCCCCCTAAAAACATAAAGCAGATACCGTTAGATGCACTGCTATACGCACATCTCTCAGGGATATATAATGTAAATTAAGACACAAAACATAAATTGTTTCCATGGTATAAAATTGCTAAGCTGTCCATTTCTCATTTCATTATAATTCTGCATAAAAATATTTCTTTTTCAGGAGTTTGTTATAGAGCAGTTTCTGCGTGCAAATCACTCATCATTAGTGAATGATACCAAATCAGTTCCAACTTCCATCTTTCTCTAGCTGAGCCAGCCTAAACTCCTAAGCAGGCACCTCCTTTGGGTTACCAGTGCAACTCTATGGGAGTAGCACACCAGAAGTCCCTTTCTGAATGAAAATGGTAAAAAGATTCTTGAGTACTTAAGTGCTGATTTTCATACTTGACATTATACCTCCTGCTTGAGAAGTCTTGCTGCTGCAAGATGCCTGGAAGCCTGTGTCAAATATTCATTCCAAACACCTTTTTTTACATAACACAAGTGGACAGCACAGTAATCAGATTGACTACATCTGTGGAAAGAATTGTCGAAAAGCTCAGTATCAGCAGTCAAAAAAAAAAAGGCCAGCTGCTAACTGTGGAACAGATCATCAGTTATTCATGTGCAAACTCAAACTAAGGCTGAAGAGAATGAAAACAAGTCCTGAAGAGCTAAATTATGATCTTGAGTCTATTCCACCTGAATTGAAAATTCATCTTAATTTGAAGTATTGAATGCCAATGATCAAAGACCTGATGAGTTATGGGATGACCTCAAGAAGAGGTCACCCACAAAGAGAGCAAAAATGTTACTGCAAAGACGGAGGGGGGAAAAAACAAACAAAATGGATGTCAGAAGAAATCCTGAAAATCGCAGTACAGCACTGGCAAGAGAGAGAGAGAGAAAAGGGAAAAGATGTTGAAGGAGAAGAGCAGAAGAGATGATTTAAAAGGTCAGTTTGAGAAGACAGAGCAAAGTATTGTAATGGAATGTGCAGAGACCTGCTGTTGTTGTTGTTATGTGCCGTCGAGTCGTTTCCGACTCATAGCGACCCTATGCACAACAGCCCTAAACCCTGCTCTATCCTGCGCCAACCGCACCGCCTCTGACACACCCATCCCGATTACCCCAGTCACCGAATCAATCCATCTCATAGAGGGTCTTCCCCTCCTGCGTTGTCCTTCAACCCTCCCAAGCATGATGTCCCTCTCCAAGGACCCGTCCCTCCTGGCAACATGTCCAAAGTATGTCAGACGAAGCCCCAGAATCCTTGCCTCCAAGGAGTAGCTTGGTTTAATCCTCTCCAAGATAAATCTGTTTGTTTTCCTGGCAGTCCAGGGTACATTCAGTACCCTTCTCCAGCACCACAACTCAAAAGCACCCACTCTCCTTCTGTCCTCCCTAGTCATTGTCCAACTCTCTTATGCATAACAAGCGATTGCAAATACCATGGCCTGTATCAGGCACACCTTAGTCTCCAGAGAGACACTGTTGCTCCTGAGTACCTTAGAGAGGTCCCTAACAGCAGACTTTCCCATCGCGATACGCTTCTTGATTTCCTGACTGCTGGTGCCAAGAGTGTTGACTGTGGAGCCGAGCTAGAGTTGGAAAATAAAAAGGGAAGAATTTGCTCAGCACTTACCAAGCCAAAAGAACTGAAAAACAAATTCTAGCCCAAGCTGCAATACTTAGAGATGTGATGGGTAAAATCTTGAATGATCTAGGAAGCAGAAAAAAAAAGATGGAGGAAACACATAGAATCACTGTACCAAAAAAAGAGCTGGCCGACACTAAACTGCTTCAGGAAGTACCATATGATCAAGAGCCAATGGTAATGAAGAAAGAAGTTCAAGGACTGAAGGCATTGGTAAAAAATAAGGCCCAAAGAATTGATATTATACCAATTGCCATGTTTCAAATGACAGATGCCACCCTGGACATGCTCACCAATCTAAGCCAGGAAATTTGGACAACTGGCTGGCTGGCTGGGAGAAATCCATAATATCATTCACAAGAAATGTGATCCAACAGAATATGGAAATTCTCAAACAATGTAATTAATGCAAGGAAAATACTGCTGAAGATTATTCAAAAGCAACTGGAAGAACAGTCTTTAGACAGAGAACTGCCAGAAGTTCAAGCTAGATTTAGAAGAGCCATGGCACCAGAGGTATCATTACTGATGTCAGATGGATCCTGTTTGAAAGCAAAGAATACCAGAAGAATATCTATTTGTGCTTTATTGATTATACAAAAGCATTTGTGTAGATAATAAGTTATAGCTAACACTGAGAAGAATGGGAGTCCCAGAATACTTAATTGTGCTCATGAGAAACCTATACCTAGATCAAGTGGCAATTATGTGTGAATGCAAAGAAACACTACAAGGTTTAAAATTAGAAAATGTATCAGAGTTGTATTTTTTCTCCATACCTATTCAGTCTGTATGCTGAAGAAATTATTTGAGAAGCTATGTGGCATCAGGATTGCAGGAAGACTTATCAATAACCTTCACTGATCAATAACCTTCATAAGGCAGATGACACAATCTTGCTTGCTGAAAATGAGGACTTTAAGCTCTTGCTTCAATATGAGTTGCATCTCAATGTCAAGAAAACAAAAATTCTCACCTCTAGACCTATAGGCAACATCATCATAGAAGGAGAAAAGATTGAAACTGTCAACAACTTCATCTTACTTGGATCCACAATTAAAATTCTTTGTACTAACAGTGAGGAGATGTATTGCACTGGAAAAGTCTGTAGTCAGGAACGTCTTCAAATTATTGAGGAGCAATGATGTTAGTTTGAGGACTAAGGTGCATCTTATTCAGTCTATGGTCTTTTCAAATCATTTGCTGTGCTGCTAAGAGCTGGCCAGTAAATAAAGATGACAGAACAATAATTGATGCCTTTGAACTATGGTGTTGGAGTACTGAATATCCTATGGACTGCAAAAAGAACAAATAGGTATGTCTACAAGAAGGTTCAGCCAGAGTGCTCCTTGGAGGCAAAGATGATAAAACTTCATATCTCATACTTCGGGTGTATTGCTAGGAGAGACTGTTCATTGGAGAAGGACATCATGGTTGGGAAGGTGGAGGACAGTCAAAGAAAGGAAGACCCTCAACCAGGTAGATTGACACAGTGACTACAGCAATGGGCTCGAGTGTCTCAGAGATTGTGAGGATGGCACAGTATAGGAGAGGGTTCAGATCTGTTATTAATAGGGTCACTATGAATTTTACTCAATTCAATGGAACCTAACAACCACCTCTAAATGGCTTTAAGGTATCATGGAGAAATTTGTTTTTCCCAAATAAGCTTTTTTTTTTAAACTCTTAAACAAGTCTTGCACTGAATATGAGGCCAGCTCTGATGGTTGAGTTCCTAGGAGTTGTGCTGCTAACCCAAAGGTTAGCTTCTGTCCAAAATTCACTAGTGGTTGCATGGAAGAAAGATGGGCAACCTCCTTCTTTGTGATTTACAGCCTTGGAAACCCCCTAGAGGATCAGGTATGAGGTGATTACTACTTGACAGCAATGTGAATCTCTGAATATAAGCAGCAGTTACAGTTGACAACTGCTATGTCTGGGGTTAAATGTGATTGTTGGTAAGAACTTATTTGCCTGTTTGAAACAATGAACTGACAGGTCCTGTCATGTTGACTAAATATATTGCCACCCAACTAGTTAGAACCAACTCATAG